CCCCCCCCAACCCTAAGAACGACTTCTGAGCAACTGAATCTTAGCTGCCTTTGGTAAAGACAGCCATTTTGCATCTGAGAAAAATTCCAGCATACTTTTACTTAAAACTTCTTAAAATATATTTATGCAGCACGTTCAAAGCCAAAAAATACCCCAAATCTCTTTATAGATTATGTAGAAACTACTTCAACTTTCACGAAATGCAAAAATACAAATTCAAAACCTTTTCAGGACGGGTCTATTTTACTGAAAAAAGAATACCTAGTACTATATTATATGCTCAAATTTTCAATAGTTTTCATGTGCTTGTCAAACACTAAATGCTATCAGAACAGTCATTAGAGTTGAATGTAAGTATCATTTATGTACTTATAACTGGCCAAGGTCCACTTCAATATTGACTGTGAAAAAGTTGATGGTAAATGGCATCACATATTGTCCAGAATTAATAGGAAAATGTTTGTACATGTCTTGATAAAAAGAGCAAGGATCATCAGAAGGTCTGCAGTACCTTATGGAGAAATTTGCTCATGACACACTAGACCTAAGACATCTCACCAATGGAACTTATAAAAAAAGCAAATAAAGTAAAATAAAAACACCACCAGAATGGCTTCTATGAGCCATTAGAAACACAGTTGGCTGCTCAGAAACGTGAAAATACAGTTGTGACACTGTAGGTCCAAGAAAAAAAATGCACACTAACATTACCAATAATTCTTACTAGAAATCACCTGGCTGACAAAATGTTGTTTTCCAGTGTTTGTCCACAACTAGAAATGACACATCTCACAGGACAAAAGCTTACATGGATTGGTCTTTCAATAGGCACAAAAAAAGGGGGGGGGGGGGGTTGGAAGGGGACAGCGTACAATTATATTTCAGAGAGTTAAAGTATTTCTAGTTGTTCATTACTACATAGCTGAAATAATTGCCCACTTAATTATTTTTAAGCCAACAGGGAAATGGCAATAGAAGTAATAAACGTGCAGTAACAGTATTACAATCTGATATTTTGAATTCTTACATTATGTCATCATTTCAGCCGATAGCGTTGACTTAGCTTTTGAAAAGATCCTTCTTTTTACAATTTAGTGGAAAATTAGATTAGAGGAGTCACTTCCAGGTGAAATGCCTGAACATTAAGCTTAATTATTTTACAATACAATGAAACGTACTACAGATTTTATGATATGATCATAAAAGTTACACATAAAAGGTTAAGAGGATGAGGGTTTGTTGTTGTTTTGTTTTGTTTTTTTGCCAAAATAGTTCAGAATTACAGGAGTTATGTTTGTCCGACTTGAACAAAAGACAGTGCCAAGGTCCAGCTCTGCAACACCAGTCTCTTAGTGGAATGCAGCTGAAAGTATCACAAAATGTTTTCAGCTACTAGAAATACTAGTGAACAAAAGATGAGGTACGCTCGGTTGCGGTTTCTGTAGGGAATTTCGACCATTTTAAGGATAGTGAAAATGAGATGACAGAGAGATTCTCAGAGCAACTGAACGTTATTCACCTCCTTCAGGAACTGCCTGCACAGGTACGACAGCGTCTTGACGTTCAGACAGCGGGAGCCCGCGTGTTCTGAGGGGCGCTGCACGGTGCCCCCACTGCTACTAACCTCACACCCCAGAATTTATGCTAAATTATTTTATCATATATGTCGTTTTCACCTAGAAACAAATAACGGGCACAGTAGAGACCATTCTCCCTGGGAAGGGATTTCCCAGAAAGACAGGAAATGTTTTCTTTACAGTACTTGACTTTGCAGTCTAATTCCAGCAAACAAAACCACCTTTACGCGATTCAGCCATGTTCTCCCCGGGGTGGGGGGAAGGGAAGGGAAGGAAAAGGCTGGCTCCCCAAGGGATGTGCCTTTACCAGCAACTGACTGCAGCCCGAGGAAAGCCTGGCTCGGAACCGAGGCGGTGCTGCCCATTCACCGGCGCTAGTACAGGGGTCTGCCAACGGGTTAACAACTTCCCCGAAGAGCAGCGCAAGCGATGTTCAACACCGCTGCCAAATAACGCAACGCAGGTCTGTCCGTCTTGGCGCAGGGTGCCGACGCCCGCCCGCCC